TACGTGTACTCTATAAACTCAACACAAATAAAATACAGTTCAGAACTTTTTTTTACATTAAATGTTTACAATAGCCTTTAGCCTTGAGAATTGAGAAAGATAAAAATATTTTTTTTAAAACTTTTAACTATAGTATGATAAAAATTTCTACAATAACTCTATTGGTTTTCTTATTCCTGTGATACTGATTTTCGCCATTCTTTCTTTTCATTCTGCAGGGGGGGGCGCCCCCCCCTCTCAGGTGCTAGGGGAGGGTGTGCGCCCGGCCGCCCCCCCCCTAGCTGCGCCTCTGGGAGAGAGTTGTAAAAGAATTTACGTCTTTCAGAGGAGTTCGGACACTTACTAACTGCTAACCAGGCTTGTTATTAAGGAGTATATATAAAGCTGCCAGTAGCAAAATCTGGATCCAGCGAGGTAAAAAACCTCCATTCTCCAGGTTAATACAGGGTTAAAAGATTAATGCAGGCCTTTAATGTTACTTGAAGTTCTGTTTTTTCTTTGTGTGCAGAGGTGCATACGGGGGATATTAAGATAAGATAAAGTTTCTCTAGTTTGCCATTTTCTCTCTCTCACCCTGTATCTCTGAATACTTTTAGAAGCACCTAGCAAGACCCAGTTGTTGCTTCTCTGAAAGAAGATGTAGTCCTAGTTTATAAGATAGAACATATATATGAGAACATCTTTGATATTTAAAAACATAACGCTGCAGCATGGTTCTTGAAACAATGACCACATAAATCTACTAGTCCTGCACATTTAAAAAATGTATTCTGACTGTTGTTGTGCTTTTAAAGTTACAAAAATAATGAAGAATTTGATAAAATTTAAATTTATTAATTAAACCAAACTTGTCTAAATCTGAGTGAAATTCTCATGTAATTTTGAAAGCACAATAAAGAAAGTCCACATTTTGGAAATGCCAGGAATAGTAATATTTTGTGATTTTAACTTTACTTGTAAAATAAGGTTGACAAATAAATGCCACAAATTATTTCAAATTATCTTCATTCCATAATTTTTCATGTTTTTGTTTTTTTTGTAGTATTTTTTAACATTATGGAAGAAGATGTACATTTTCTTATCTAGACAAAACACCCCTAGCCAGGACTTTACATAATCTCATACCAGTATTAACCCTAAATAACTGATTTCACAAACTTTACTTTAGGGCAAAGTACCAGATTACTTAAAGAAGTACTACCCAGATCATCTATTTCTGACTAAACCAGATTTAGAGACAGGAAACCTGATAGAGAAGTTACATGAAAACTCCATGTTATGTTTGAGCCGGTTTATGCTATATCAACATATCCTTAACTACAATAAGTTGATCCTGTACCCCAGACAGTTTACTGATAATACATACTCAAGATTGGTTTCCTTTTATTATGCAGCAGCACATTGCACCATGGATAAAGGCTCTGGAATCCTGTCTCTTGACACACAAGATCTCCTAGAAGAGGCAACAAGAAAGTTGATTGGTGGGAAAGAGACTTTCTCCATCAGAACAGGTGCAGAGTCCTTAATCCATGGGGGAGAAAAAACAAAGAATGAAGCCTATACATTCGAAGCTGTGAAGAAAGCAGGAGGTGCTGTTGGATCTGTCCCCAGCTTGATGTTCTGGACCCCAGACCAGAAAAAGATATTGTTTGAACATCATCCCAGAAGCGTCATCTGTGGACAATTTGGTACCGGGAAGACAGTGATATTAACCGAGAAAATAAAAAGGATGATACAGAGTATTATTGATGATCAGGATAATCAGGGTGAGCAAATGTAAAATTCATTTTTTTATTTCAATTGTTTTAGCTTTTTTAAGTGGTAATTTGATATTACAATTAAAGGTTTTTTAACAATATTTGTTTTCCAGATCCTGTTGGTAGTGGAAGTGCTGACAAAAAAGTAGAAGTTAATTCCACTGAAAATGAGGTATAGTCCAAAATTTCTTATTACTGATTCACTATTTCTAATAGTTATAGTTATAGTATTTATTTTCAAACACAAAATACAAAATAATAGTGTTTAATGGTTCATCTAAAAACATAACACATATTCGAAGAATCAACCTCATTGTGTTATTTAGAATTTTGTTTAACCAGTCCATAATATATTATTAACTTAATATGTTCTCCAGGGTTACCCTTAAAATATTAGACTTACTGACAACATGAAACTCTTCATAACAGGGCTCTGGTCTTTTTAATTTAAAATGTAATGGACAAAATTACATATTTTTTCTAACAACCTTTGCATCCTTTTTAGTATTGTAATATTGACTATTTAGGTTATCTTTTTTTTCAATGGTATTTTCTCATTTCTTTCTTATTACATTTTAATAAACAATATTAAATTTTGTTTAAACAAGTGCCAGATCTGGTCCCACACAAAGTTTGGACCAAGTTTGTTGAAGTGTTTATTATAAAAATAAAAACCAACAAACATAAAGAAACGTACAATATAATGAATTGTTATATTTTCTTATACAGTTTATGGAGCCTGATTTCTTAAATCATATCTAAAGCAAATTTATCAAAAAGTTAAATGATATTTCTTAATTAACGCAAAACCATTGCTTGTACCTTGCATTGATTTTTTGTTATCTGCTAACTTTTCCCCCCAGTTTTCTACTGAAGATTTATCTCACTTCAATTACATATTTAAGGATGTATGGTATTTGCTTGTATTGCTTTGTATTGTATAGTTTCATTATTTCTCTGTCAATATAAGATTTTACAAACAGGATAATCAAATTACATATTCAAGGATGTATTGTATTTGCTTGTATTGCCATGTATTTTATAGTTTCATTATTTCTCCATTAATATAAGATTTTATAAACAGGATAATCAAATTACATATTTAAGGATGGTATTTGCTTGTATTGCCATGTAATGTATAGTTTCATTATTTCTCCATTAATATAAGATTTTATAAACAGGATAATCAAATTACATATTTAAGGGTGTATTGTATTTGCTTGTATTGCCTTGTATTGTATAGTTCATTATTTCTCCGTTAATATAAGATTTTATAAACAGGATAATCAAATTACATATTTAAGGGTGTATTGTATTGTATTTGCTTGTATTGCCTTGTATTGTATAGTTTCATTATTTCTCTGTGAATATAAGATTTTATAAACAGGATAATCAAATTACATATTTAAGGATGTATTGTATTTGCTTGAATTGCCTTGTATTGTATAGTTTCATTATTTCTCTGTTAATATAAGATTTTATAAACAGGATAATCAAATTACATATTTAAGGATGTATTGTATTTATTAGTTTGAAATGATAAGAGGTTAAAACTTTCATGTTTAGATCTTTCCGTACTCAGTCTTTCTTTAAATATACTTTTAATTATTTCTGGATAAATTTACCCTGGAATTAAATTTGAATTCTTTGATTTATTATCTATTTATACAACTGCTTAGAGTTATAATAAGTAATATTAATTAAGTAAAAATCCTGGCAAAAATATGATTTCCCAAATTATTTACAAGGCAGTTGATTATATAATTTTATTCATTTTTAAACCCGAAAAACCTTGAAAAAAAAACTATAAAATCCGCAAAATCTAGTAAGAAATCCAGAATTTAAAATTTAGACATGTAATTTGAAAAAATTCTCATAATTTCCCAGGACAATTATGAGAAATAATATCCCAGAAGATTTTCAAAGTACAGGAAATTACACGGGAAATTAATTCTCTCAAAATGGAATAAAAGTTTACACTGTGGTTATCTAGTTTACATGTTGCTAAGCATTATCACAACCAAAAGTTTTAGCCCCAGGACTTTAAATTGAATCAACAAATTTATTGCATTAGCTCTTGAATACCTCTTGATGCCCCTTTATTAATCCCCTATTGTAAATTGTTATTGCTGTTTTAACCCTTCTATTTCATAGTTGTGGTTGATCTACCACATTATTGATTTTTAAATACAAGTTTACTTTCTTAAACTATAGATTTATAATCTCACTAATTTTCTGATAGAATGAAATTCGCGTTGAACTTTCTCTACAGATAAACCATCAAATCCAAACTGGACTTTTGAAGATGCGTGAGGTAAGATCTAGAAACTATCTCTATAATTTGATACCAATAGTAAATTGTGCAAAATAAGCAAATCTATATTACACAGTACAATATGTTAAACTAGAATATTTGATTCAGTACATCATGATTCTGCCAATTACTCATTTAATCAAGCGCTTTGTAGCTTTCGAATTATTTATTGAAAGCCATGAAAGTTGTGAATTAATAATAATATTAAAGACTGTACTTACTTTACTATATCATCCTAGATAAATTAGAATTTATCTAGGTTTATCACTTATACATTTTTAGATATGTAGATTTTAGAACTACAAAAAGATTGTTTGTAGCTTTAGCCTTAAAGAAGTAATTGGCAAAATGCTAATAGACCTTTGCGTTTTTACTGATAAAAAATATCAAACTTATTTAGTAATAAATTGTTGGACTATGTCGCATTATAGAGTTTTGAACACATAAACAAATGAACTCATGGAACACATGAACACATGAACACATGAACACATGAAAACATGAACACATGAATGCAGCTATCTAATTTCTGATTCACAACGGTACCCTTTAAACCTTTGTCTGATCAAGGTTGACGGAGTTATCCTTCTTTTACCCGCAGGAATGCGTGTGCCTTGTTGTTAACTTTATATTAAACCTGTTTTATAACTTTATAATGTGAAAGTTTTTTTTATGGGATTCACAGAATATAAACATTTCCTGATTTTTCAAAACCGTGTTGGACATAATTTTCGGGATTTTCAGGAAATATGTGAGCTACATGGAGTTAACTATAGTGTAAACCTGCTGTTTACCGGTATATATTATATATACCTGCTGTCCATGATCAGACCATTCAAGTTTTCTTGTGAGGTGTACTTGATACATTTTAGTTTACAGTAAATAAAACAATGAAGAATTATTAACTTTGTTTTTCTATTTTAAGGAACCTTTGCAAATGTTGAAAAGTTGTAATGAAGCTTTAATGAGGCTTAAGGTAGATATTTAATATTAACTTTTAACTAGTTATATGTAAGCAAATAAAAATAAAAATACACTATACATCCACTTTGTAATTATTTATCCTACTGATCAAAAATATCATATATTCATCATTTATATTTGTCTAAAGCAAAAGTACATTAAGCAATAACAAAGTTTACAATTTAATACTAATACTCTTTTCTTTGGATATCGCATTTTATGATTGACAGGGTTTGCCAAAAAAAATAGGTGCAATACAAGACTTTTAGCATGAGTATAACATAAAAACCTCTTTTCTGTTAATACGTTAATAGCATTAATTGGTATACTCTCATACGCGGTGTAATTTAAAAGTTTTGCTAAAAAAGGGGTACTTGTAGAACTCTCTGCCCTGTAATTTTTTTTAAAAAGTTAACTCTAGTTATACCGTATTATTTATCAGACCAGTTGATGTCAATTAGATCTTTGTTGAAATGTAGGGAGCGTTCTCCCGAAAGTAAATCAGCTTCATTCGTGATCGTCACAGCAAGAGAATTTTCAGAATGGTCTCAAACTTGATCCATCATTCAGAGTCTGCTTTTGACCCTTTAAGAGCGATCAAAAGAAAAGAGAGATCGAGTATTTAAATAATGTATGAAGGACTTGTGCGGATTTTTCTAGTTTTGATTCACATTTGAGATATATAATCAATTTAATCCTTTTTGTCCTATGTTAGAGACTTTAGGACAAATTTAAACCAGATTTTTGTCATTTTAAAATCTTGCTTTACAACTTTGTTTACAATGTTAAAACATATATCTCAAGCTCTCTGGCTAACATACTTCTTGAACCTTTGCTAATAAATATGGTAAATATGGTCAATTCCTGGGGAACGATTGTTCTTCAACAGGAACGGGCGGAATTATCAAGAACTATTCCATGCGTTCCAAAAAAAGAATGATCACATAGAACGCGTTCTTAAAAATGTTGGAACGATTTTTGAATTAACGAATGGTAATTGGCTGAAAAGAACAGTCTGGAATCTTTGACGTTAAAAATCAGGAACACGTTATAAATTAGGAACTTGTTCTGAATCTGAATCTTTGCCATCTGGTCCTGTTAACCTTAAATATTTCAAACTTAGACTAGTTGATTTAACAGGATTTATAGTTTGAAATATCAAAGGACTCCAACATTTGGTTGCAAAGATATCGGGATTAGAAAGGAAACTAAGTTTTTGCCACAAATTCTAATATTCAAATCTCTACATCTTTGTATCCTAATGGCGTAAAGTTTTGATATTTAAAACTTCGACTATTTCATCTTAAAGAATTCATAGTTTGAACAAATAAACATAAAAATCGGATTTCAAAGATATAGGGTTCAGAAAATCAGAGTTTGTTGCAAGAATTCCGTTCCTTTGAGTTTGTGGCAAAGACTCAATTCCGTTTGGTCTAATAGACTAATATACGTGGGGGGAATGTTTTCCACCCCCTATGATTTTGCCCTTAGAGTTGAGATAGTGACGTGTGATACATGTTCTTAGTCCAACTTTTCAAGGCCAGCTCATTGAAAAAATAGACCTCTAACTTTAATGGTAAGAATGCAAAGGAGGTTTTTAAAAAATCAAAAAGTTTGTCCTTTTTCATTTTTGACAAATATTGACATGTGACACATGTTATTGCATCCATTTTTGATGGTTTTTTCAAATAAAGTAATAGATTTTTTTTAAACCCTTGTTTTAAACTAAAAACGATTAAAAGTTCTTTATCTTTAACGATTATCCATCAAGAACGAACGGCTGTAAACTGTTCTCAATCAAGAACGGAATGGAACGGAACGGAAGAGGGATGTGATTGGGAAAAAAACGAATTAGGAATGAACGATCCAGCTGAAGGCCCTCGTTCTAGAAACGAGAAAAAGGAACACGTTTAGCCTTAATCCTGCAGAGTTGAAATGTAACATCAGCAAACTTACAATAATCATTTGATTTTTGAATTTCGAACAATATTTAAGACTACAATTAAAAACTGGAGAATTTATTTTAGATAATATGCAAATATTAAAATGAAACAGTACATTCACGAATCATGATATACTGCCAAATGACCCTTATACTACCTTAGAACATGCAGCTCTTAGAACATGCAGCTCTTAGAACATGTAGCTCTTGGAACATGCAGCTCTTAGAACAGAACCATTCCTTCCTTTTTTTAAAAGAATGGGGACCGTTCACTTATTTGGGCAATTTCAGGGTAAACTAAATAGTCCATTAGCTATTCATTAGAATCAGTCTTCCTTTTCAAAGATAACTGTGGCTGAAGAAAAAGCCAATTTATTGTTCAGAAGTCCCGCCCAAAGGACCGGTACCTTTAAAGAGAGATTATTTAAACGATTGTTCAGTAACAACATTCCAAGAAAATCTAAGTATCATTTTTTAATGACATTATGTACTAAATTATTTATATGAAATTTAATTAAAAACCTTGGCTATAACAAAAAGCATCAAATAGTGTCTAAACGAATATACCTGACCGTTGCGCATGGTATTCTGAATGAATCGGTATTTTTCTCTGGCCAGATGTCTTTGAAAAGTAATACTAATAACAATAAAAAGCTAATAGACTATTTAGTTTGTCATGAAATTACCCAAATAAGTGAACGGTCCATTTAAGTAGTGCACTTTATGCAGTATATCCTGTTCTTATGTAAACATAAGCTGAACTTAATTATTCTGAAGAAAAATAGTTAGAAATAGATTTCCTTTTTAAATCAGAGATGCTTATATGAAAGTTTGATTTTGGCTGGTGGAAATACAGCTTGTAGTATCAATATTTTTCTATAGCTTTCTTTTAATTAAGGACCTAATGAAAGAGGAAAGCAGTGTACAGCAAGGTGACCACACTAAAGAGGAAAGCAGTGAACAGCAAGGTGACCACACTAAAGAGGAAAGCAGTGAACAGCAAGGTGACCACACTAAAGAGGAAAGCAGTGAACAGCAAGGTGACCACACTAAAGAGGAAAGCAGTGAACAGCAAGGTGACCACACTAAAGAGGAAAGCAGTGAACAGCAAGGTGACCACACTAAAGAGGAAAGCAGTGAANGATCTGTTTAATACTACAACTTTTATACAAAATTGCATATATATGAACTTTCGTATAAATTTGACACAATTTTATATCAATTTCTCGAGACAGGAACATCAGATAGATGTCTTATAGGTATCGTTCAACTCCTGAGATTCTCAGGTTTCAGCCTATACCCCCTTTCATTTTTCCTTTACTCCCTTTAAGGGTTCCTCTAAAATACTTTATGAAACCCCACCACGGCTAAGTCCCATTTCTACTCATTTATCACCCAACTTTACCATTAATCAAAACAATGGGACAAATGTTTTTTTGAAAAGAACAGACATACAATTTAAATGAAGGCACTCAATACCAAACGTTTGTTAACGAAGGTAAAGATTTTGAAAATTAACTGAAGATTCTNGCATACTGTTGTCCAAATAACTGTTCATAAAAAAGGAAAATAAAAAAGAACAAAAGAATGTGTTTTAAAATAATGTGCTCACATTACACTAATTCAACAAAATTGTATCGCTAACTCTGTATAAATATCAAAATCTTTCAGAATATATTTTTATAATTTCTCCCATTATTGATTTTAAATATTATGAAAATATTTATAGTTAATGGATCAACATTACGTGGAATTACTTCAAAAAGTGGATGCATTGATATCAAGAATTGAGGTAGGAATTGTCTTGTCTTTGTGAACGAACAACATTTTTGAGAATGAACTAAATTTTTTGTGAACAATGGTGTTGGTCAGAAAAAAAACCAACGTTGGACAAACAATCGTTTTTAAAAAACCAACGAAAAAAAAACTACACAAACAATTAAAAATCGTTTGACTGCTTTTCATCATTCACGAATGATTTCTAAATCGTTCGTTCGGACAAACTTTTTCAGTTAACAAATAATTTTTTTCTATCAAAATTTTAAAAAAAAACTATAGATTTTTACAGAACGAATAATTTTACTGAAAGATTGTTCAGTGAGAAAACAAACGAAATAGATGGAAAATGAACGATAATTTTAAAAATGATTGAAATTATTTTTTTTGAACAATTAAAAAAAAAACTAAAAAATGGGTTGTTCACTAACGATGAACAAACAAAATGAAAAAAAATGAACACTCCCATCTCTAAATGTGAACCCTATATACATGATTTAAAATTCAGTGATGGTGATGGACCAAACATCTGTAGAGTAAAAAAGTAGATGTTATGTTCCACATTTATTGAAAATATATTTCGGTCTGAGTTGACCCTCGTCAGTTCTAACCATATAATAACCATCAAAATCGATAAAAAAAAATTAAAAAATGTAAAAAATCACAAGAAGATAAACAAACATGGTTCACCTCTAACCTCCCGGTCCCTGGATGTGAACCCTATATACATGGTTCACCTCTAATCTCCCGGTCCCTATATGTGAACCCTATATACATGGATCACCTCTAATCTCCCGGTCCCTGGATGTGAACCCTATGTGCATGGTTCACCTCTAATCTCCCGGTCCCTGGATGTGAACCCTATATACATGGTTCACCTCTAACCTCCCGGTCCCTGGATGTGAACCCTATGTGCATGGTTCCTTAAAGTAAACCCCTGTTTGCATTTAAAATAAATTGAAAGTTGGGAATAAAAAAATTATTAACAACAAACTCTGATGTTTT